TCTCTCCTGCCACGAACTTCCCCCCATTACAACCACCATCAACCCAACTAATACCACCACTACCACCCCAACCACTACCAATACTAATACTAACAACAACCCCCTTCTTTATTTAGAACCTCAATTCAATATATCCACTCACACACTTATCCGGACCATCCTCCCTACTCCAACCACTATCTATGCCGGCCTCAATACCTCTGATATTCTTTTTTGGCAGTTACCAGATTCACTCAAGACTAACTCAATATCAACTCTCCACTAACCCAATTAAAAATAACAACAACCCACCCAAAAACATCCTAATCATCACCCATTCACTATCTAAACCTTTTCTAAACCCCCATTACTCACCAGACCAAGTTAATCTATAATAAACCCACTAAAACTTTCTTTAAGATTTCGAAATGCATACAGTCGGAGAGAATACAGTGCATATTACTGATATCGGATATGAAACATGCAAAGCCGGATATTCAGGCGTCGAACTCCCCTCGATTTATAAGAGACGAGAAGGTCAGAATTATGACGACTGTTTGGCCCAAGTACTTAACGAGATAACTACTGAACCAGCTGATGTTTCTTTGATAAACATTGATGATCCTTTTATTCATACTGAGCAGAGAAGAAAGACCTTTTCTCATCTTATGGAGTCTTCACTCTGTTCTGGTGTTCTTTTCATTAACGGCGCCGTAGCTGATTGTTTTAGTTATGGCAAGAGTGCTGGGTTGATGATAAGATTGAATGGCAGTAGTACACAAGTTATTCCCATGATTGAAGGGTACTGCTTAAGTGGTGGACTTAGAAGCAGTTGTGGTGGTCATTTTCTAACGGAAGTAACCAGAAAGTGTCTGCAACGCAAATCCGATGAGTTAAAAACAAACCTACTACTACCACAAGCAGCTATTCAAGCCAAAGAACGTGTTGCTCTGGAACAACTACCCACTTATACAGAAAAGGCCTACTATACCGGTCTATCTGAAAATCAAAAATATGGACAGGAAATGAACGTAGCCCGATGTTTCAAGGAATCTGTTTCGTTTTTAGGCCATTGCCAGCCCAAGTACTACGAATTCGCTACTGGGTTTACTACGCGAATCTTTTCTGAGCGCAATGAAATTCCCGAGAAACTCTTCAAATCCGAGAACTACACTCTGGAACGACTTGATCCAACTAAGCAAATGAGCGGCACAGTTGGATCGATGGGCTTACTGGAGATGGTTAAAACAGTGATGGAATCGGTTGATTTGGAGTATTACGATATGTTATTGGGCAATGTAATGCTTTCAGGCGGTGGATCACTTGTACCGGGTATAACTGAGCGACTTCAATCCGAGCTAATGAAGATGTTCCCAAATACACGTGTTAAAGTATGCAATGACCGCCGTGAGTTTGCGACTTTCTTTGGTGGCTCAATTTTAGGATCATTAGGAGCGGCTAGTACGTTAATGATAACTAAGAGTGACTACTCAGAGTGCGGACTTTCGGCTCTGGACAGAAAACGGTCTGAATGGGTCCGGTAGGTTCCAGTTAAGTTGGGCTTAGTATAGTATGGCTTTGGCAGGACAAGTATTTTAAGCTTAGATTGAAGGAGATTAGTGCATGGCCTACCGGAATACTATGCTAATAGGTAAATAAACCCGAACACGACAATTAACTTTTGTATTTACTTAGTATCTTATCATATCAAATCTATTGAATTACTGGCCAACAGTTTATTGTTAACAGCAGTACATACTAGTTCAATTTACAAGAAGATAGTATTG